GATCGCGCAGCCCAGAGAGATAACCAACGCGCGCGCATAATCCACGATGGGAGCACGAATCAGACCAACCTCAGCGACCCCGAGGGCGGTTTCCTTCGCACACCTCGACAATGAGCCGGACCTCCAGCGGCTCTGCGCGCAGTCGCTCCATGACACACCGAATGCAAGTGAGAATGCGGGGGGGGGGGGGCAGCAGGTGGTCAGCTAGCCGGCGAACCCGCGGTCTCGGTTGCGCTCCAGGTGAATGGCGGGGGGCAGCCAGGCAGCGCGCTGGCAGGGGCGCCTTCGCCGCCCGGGAAGCGCGCCCGCTTCGCCGCCCTCGGCAAAACCGCGCTGGTTGCCAAGGTGGCGGGGCACGTTGGCAAGGATGTGCTCAGCGGCAGCCGCGCGGCAGGCAAGTCGCGAGACGGCGCGAAGCATCGGCTGACGACCACGCGCGCGGAGCGCCCATGCTGCGCAAGTGGTCGAAGGGCCCTGGCGAAGGAGCGGCGGACGTCGTCGGCCAGACAGTCGACCGCGCCCAGGATCGCTCGGCGTGCCCAGTGGCTCTGTCAGCCAAGCACCAGTGGGGCCCCCCCCAAAAAAAAAGCGCGCAGCCATCGCGGCGGCGATTGAAGCTGGATGCCACGAGCACCGACGGCCTTCACTCAGCGCGAAACAGCGAAGCATGTCCGAACGGTCTGCATGTCCTTGAAGGCCAGGACGCGCCAGCCAGCAGGTACCAACCCACGCCGCCTGGGCTGGCTGAGCGACGTCGAGCCGCTGACGGCCTTGCTCGACATCGAACGTAGGCTGCAGCCTCCCCCGCCGACGAGCAGGATATGCTGGCGGCGCAGTGCGTCATGCCGACGGGAGGGCGAACGCCCATCGGCCAGCTCAAGAGCTTGTGCCGCGCTCGGGGTAGATGCCACAATCCAACCCTGCACAAAGTGGCAGCGCACCCTGGGCGAGCGGGGCATCTTCGCCACGGGCGCCTCGCGCAAGGTCACGGACTGCGCGCGGCGAGCAGCGGCGCGCGCGGGGGACGCCGTTGGCGAGGGGGGGGATTTCTTAACCTTGTTGTGGGATTTGGCCAGGGACTTCGAGAAGGTCTCGCACGACGTCCTGCGTTGCCTGGGGTGCAAGGAGCTGTTCCCTTTGCACGTCTTGCGCGTGGTCACCGGGGCCTCCTGCTGGAGGCGCGCGCCCCCCCTGGGCGGCGTCGCGGGCGACGGCCTGCGCCCGGGGAATGGCATCGTCGCGGGATGTTTCTTAGCCACCTACGCCCTGCAGGCTTGCCTGGTGAACGAGCTGAGGGGGCAGGCCACGGCCCGCCCCGAGGTCGGCACTGCGGTGCGCGGGGGCGACATCAGCCAGGAGGTGGTTGCGAACGACGGCGGCGCGCGCGTGGACCTCATGGTGGAGGCCGCCCGCGGGCCAAGAGCGCACTGCGCGACGAGCTTAAGATTCAGGTGGCCGACGCCAAAGGCACCATCTTGGGGAACAGCGACGCCACCGCGCAGGAGCGCGCGCGCAGGCCGGCGGGCTGAGGCCTGCCCAAGAAAGCCTGTAGCATCGGCCAAGAAGCTGGCCCGCAAGTCCGTCCAAACACGCTGGCAGACGCCAGAAGACCCAGGCCTCGGTCCGCCATGTTGGAGCAGATTTTCGCGCGGGACGTCGGCGACGCGAGCTACCGTCAGGCACGCAGCGGTTCGTCATGGCGCATCGCGCGATGGAGGCCTTCAAGATGACCCGACGCATCCTGCGCTCAGCGATCCTGCCGACGAGGAAGTGGGGCGGCGAGGTCAGCGGCTTCGCCCTCCAGGAGCTCGGCCGTTTGAGGCGCATCGCCAAGCAGGTCTACGGGCGCGGCCACATGTCATCGGATGTGTTCGGCGCAATCTACCCGAAGACCGGCCCCATCGGCAAGGCCGCTTTCATACCCCTGGGCCGCAACCTGGCGGAGGCGTGGAGGGCCGCGGATCAGCGGCGCCGACGCGGGGAAGTGCTACCCACCAGCATTTCGAGCAGAGTGTTCGAGCAGGCCCTCGTGAGAGCAAGTCGGACGCGGCCCATCGGAGCTGCGCTGACGGCGTCCACCGTGGCAGGGTGGCCGGTGCAGAATGCGACCGTTTTCGTTTCGCCGCGACGCGGCGCTCTTTCAGCATTCCAGCACGCGCCCAAGCGCATGGAGAAGCTGTGCCCACGCGACGTGTTCGACAGACAGACAGCGCGCAGCGGCGCCGCAGACAGGGTTCGATGAGCATGCTCCCCCAGACGTTTGGTGGGAGGTTGTCGCAGCGAAGGTCGGCAGCAAGTACCTCGCCCCGCTGGAGAAGTGGGCCATCATCGCGGTCGGTGGTGGCACCCGCCTCGCGGGTGCCAAATGGCCGAGTGGTGCTACGACGAGGGCGCGGGCACGTGCAGGCGCCGCGGCGTGTGGGGCGACCTGCAGCAACGCCTGAGCTCGCGCGCGGCCTTTGCTGAGGGCCGCGGAAAAGCGCCCCCCCCCCCCCCCCGCTTCCAGCAGCGCGCGCGCGGGGGAGTGAAGATTGCCTCGGCCCGTTCCGCGCGCGAGCCCCTTCGCTGCCCGCCAGGCCCGACGCGGCCTCGCCCCTGGCGCCCGAGAAAATGATCGCGCGAGCCCACGTTGAAGACGCGCCCGCGTCTCTCGAGAGCTCTGCTTTCGAGCCCGACCTGCCTCTTGCTGGAGACGGGCCCGCCGCTGCCAGTGCCCTCGCGGAGCTCCGACGGGCGGGGCGGGCGGCAGCCCCGCGGGCGAGGGGCGGGACTGTTCGGGGGCCCCATCGGCCCCCTCACCTCCCAACTTCCCCCCTCCGCGCGCGCGGCCGAGTTGCAAGCCTTTTGCCGATGGGGCAGACCATGCAGACGGGTCCAGCCGCGCGTTAGCGACAACGCGGAGGCTTTTGCCCTTCGCGCACGTGGTCGCGCGTGCACCTCTTGCCCTTGGAAGATGCAGGTCGTGCGGCGACCCTGCGCGCAGTGCGGGTCTGGGGGCGATGGCGCGCCAGGACGTCCCCGCTGCCCCTCGGACGGAGGGCGAGTGGCGGATCGTCCTCAAGTCCTGGGCCGACGAGGCGGCCGCCGCTCAACCCGTGGCCCAGGTGGGCCCAAGACGAGGCCACCCTGGAGGGCGCCTGCTCCGAGGCGCGGTGGGGACTAGCGAATCTGGGGCGGGCGCTGGCGCGTGGGCCTGCTCCCAAGGTGGAGTGGGACCACCTGCCCCCGCGCGCGCGCGACCCCCGACGACCGTGCACCCGCGCTTCCGATCTGCACGAGGTGGCGGATGGCGGGTGGCGGTGCGTTCAGTGCTTGCGCGGCCCTTTGAGCTGGAAGGCCGGGATGGCCTCCGAGTGTGGGCGCGAGGCGCCCAAGCGTTGGAGGAGCCTGCGAGAGTTCGCGGGTCCCCACGTTTTGTGGGGAACGGCGATCGGGCCGAAGGCCTGTTCACCACAGCAGGGCGACTTCCTATTGTAGTGTGCCGCTCACGGGAGTAAGAACTGTGCGTAGTGCGCTTCTGCAGCTGGCACGTTCGGCGCCCATGGGGGGGGCACAAACAGTAACGAGGGGAATGAGGACAGGGCCCCCGTCTGGTTCGTTCGCCCCTCCTCGGAGCGTGATTCTTTCCATCGCGCTGCCAGACGGGCTGGACTGGCCCCATCGGATCCGCGCGTTCTCATCTTCTTTATGTCCTCTCCCTCCGCTTTCCCTGTCCCTCCTCCTGCTTGGGGACCGGTTCTGTGGACGCCTTCTTCGGGAGGACAGGCCTGTGAGGACAGGGGGGCAGGGGGGGGGGCTGTGGACATGGGCAGACGTCGCGGACGAATGCGATGCCAACTTGAAGTAATGAGAACGGCAAGAGGGAGGATGCCTCCAGATCTCCCTCCCGGGAGGCCTCTTTTTCTCCCTCCCTGCTCACGGTGCCCATCCTGCTCCAGGCCCCGTTAACAATAGTTGCTCGTGCTTCCCCGAAGTATCGTCCGATGCGTCCGTTTTGCCCGTGGTGCTTCCGAGCGTTTCGGATGGCAAGCGCGCTGAGGGACTTGTGTGTTGGGGGCGGGGGGGGGACGTCGCCAGACAAAAGGGGAACGAGGAGGATGAGAAACCAGAGTGTGTGAGGAAAAAAAGTTGGAGAAATTGGGGGAGGAAGAGAAACAGGAGGCATATGAGGAGAAGGAGGAGGAGGAGGAGGAGGAGGAGGAGTAGGAGGAGGAGGAGCAGCAGCAGGAGGAGGAGGCAGGAAGGGGAGGAGGGGTAGTGGGCGACGAGTAGTTCCACGAAGGAAGGGGGCAAGACGGGGACGGGGAGAGAGAGTCGGTGGCGGGATGGGGGAGGCGTCGGAACAGACTATCTCGATGGTACGGTCGGACCGAGGTATAAGGTCGAGGTCGGCTCGGGGAGGATGCCCTAATGTTATTCGTGGCTGTTGGATGTAACTGTGCACCTTGGGGGGAGTACCCTGGAATGGTCCTCAGTTTTGCTGGCGGAGGGTTTCATTTGTTTGAAGGATACTCTTCTCTCCTAGGTTTGGCCGTATCGTTGATGATGAGGAAAAGAAGGCGATTGAAAATAATAATAGGAAGAAACACAGAGAAATGGGTAGGAGGCGTGGGTGAATCACTCACACCTCCTCCCCACTTCGCTGCGTTTCTCAGCACACCCCCTCCTCCCCACCTCCACGGTTTCCATCATACAGAGTGATGGGGACGGAGGAGAAGTCAGGAGAACGGAAGACGAGAAGGAACAGGTAGAAGGGGTGTTAGTAATTTGGAAGGCGGGGGGGATGATCATGTGGAGGGTATGGGAGGAGGACAAGGGAGGCGGCCAAGCGAGGAGGGAGGGTGGAGGAGGAGGAGGAGGAGGAGGAGGAGGAGAAGGAGGAGGAACAAGAACGAGGCGGAATGAGGAGGAGGGTGAGGAGGCAAAGGACGATGCAGAAGAGGAGAGGGGGGGGGGGAGGAGAAGTGGAGGAGAAGGACGCGCGGATGGGGCAGGAGAAGGACGCCCCCGCGGCGCCGTGAGGAGGCGGCCCCCGCGGCGGCCGACATCCCGCGAGGCCTGGCCGCGGGAAGGGGGGGAGGGGCCGCGCCGCGTCGCCGCAGCCGTGGCGCCCGCGCTTCGCCCTCTGCTTCCCCCCCCCCCCGCCCCTCGGCCCTCCCCCCCCCTCCCTCCTCCCTCTCCCCCGTCCCCCCATGCCCCCATCCCTCCTTCCCATGCCTCCCCATGCCTCCCCCTCCTCCTCCTCGTCCTTCCGCCTCTCTCCCTCCCTCGCCGGCGTCGTTGTCGGCGTTCGGGGCTCTGCGGAGGGGGGAGGGTGGGGGCATGGGGCGATTCGCGGTCCCGAGCCTGTTCGGGTCGTGCTGGGTGCGAATGGGCGAGGGAAGGGGTGAAGGGAGGGGGGGAAGGGGGATGAAGGGAGTATGGTGACGGGCTGATGGAGGAGTGATTCGTTCAGCTGGGCTTCTGAGAGGCCTCTTTAGAAGCCCCCGATGCCTCCCAAGGTGCCCCCTGCCTTCTTAGAAGGCGCCCCCTTCGCTGGACACCTCGCCGTGCCCCCAGTCGCGCGCCGACAAGAGGCGAAGTCCTCCTCGTCGACGACCCGAACAACCGGCCTACGGCGACGCTGATCTCCAACATTGTCAGGTCGAAGTTCGATCTGTGGGCCTTCAGCCTGCAGGACGACTCCTCCTCGCACGAGGCATCAAAGGGGTTGGGGGGTTTAGAGGAAGGGCGCCAAGCAATAGGGGATCGAGGAGGATGAGAGGCCGGAATGGATGAGCCTTGCTTTCGTCCGCACCGACATGCGACTCGCCAGGGTGACACGTCGACTCGCGTATTTGTTTCTCAAGGACGTCACAGGCAGTGCCCCTGAAGTTTGCCATGCGTACAAGTTGGAGTAGGAGCAGGAGGAGGAGGAAGAGGAGGATGATGAGGAGGAGGAGGAGGAGGAGAAGGAGAGGGTGGGGGAGTTGGAGGAGGAGGAGGTGGAGGAGGAGGAGGGGGGAGGATGAGGAGGAGGAATTTGGGGAGTTGGAGAAGGAGGTGGGGGACGATGATGATGCTGATGATGATGTTGGTGATGATGATGAGGATGAGGATGAGGATGAGGATGAGGATGAGGATGATGATGCTGATGATGATGATGATGATGCTGATGATGATGATGATGATGATGATGATGATGATGATGATGATGATGATGATGATGATGATGATGGGGTGGTGATGACAGTGATGCTGAAGCTGATGCTGATGCTGCTGATGATGATGATCATGCTGCTGATGATGATGATCATGCTGTTGATGATGATGATGTTGATGATGGTGATGGTGACGGTGACGGTGAGAGTTAGACTAAGGGTGCGCGTGATGATGTTGCTGATGCTGCTGCTGATGATGAGGCTGATGATGCTGATGATGATGACTCTGGTGATACCGATGATGATACTGATGATGATGCTGGTGATGGTGATGATGATGATGATGATGATGATGATGATGATGATGATGATGATGATGGTGGTGATGATGATGATGATGATGCTTATTATTTGGAGGAGGAGGAGGAGGAGGAGGAGGATGAGGAGGCGAAGGAGGAGGAGGAGCAGGAGGAGGAGGAGGAGGAGGGGGGTTTGAGAAGAAGGTGGGAGGAGGAGGAGTTGGAGGAGGAGGAGGAGGAGGAGAAACAGGTGGGGAGTGATGGATGAGGAGGTGGAGGGGGAGGAGGAGGAGAAGGAGGAGAAGGAGGACGCGGAGGAGTTGCAGGAGGAGGATGAGGTGGAGGAGGAGGCTGGGGGGGAGGAGGATGAGGAGGAGGTGGGGGATGACGAGGATGATGAGGATGATGATGGTGCTGATGATGATGGCGGCGATGATGCTGATGATGATGTTGATGATGATGTTGATGATGATGCTGAAGATGATGTTGTTGATGATGATGATGATGATGTTGGTGATTGTGACGATGCTGGTGATGATGATGGTGATGGTCACGATGATGCTGACGATGCCGACGGTGGTTATGCTGGTGATGCTGTTGATGATGACGCTGATGTTGATGATACTGATGATGATGCTGATGATGATGATCATTAGCATGATGGTGCTGCTGATGCTGATGCGGATGATGACTATGCTGATGATGCGGATGATGTTACCGACGGTGATGCTGACGTTGATGCTGGTGCTGCTGGTGATGCTGCTGTTGCTGATGCGGATGCGGATACTGGCGATGTTGATCATGGTGATGGTGATGGCGATGTGCATAATGATGACTCCGATGATGATGCTGACGTTGATGCTGATCATGCTGATGCTGGTGATGATGCTGATGGTGGTGGTGGTGGTGGCGATGATGACGCTGATGCTGATGTAACTGATGGTGTTGATGTTGATGATTATGATGTTGTGTATGATGATGGTCATGCCAGTGATGGGGCTGATGCTGATGTTGATGCCGACGGTGCTGGTGATGGTGATGATGCTGTTGATGCTGATGATGATGATGATGATGATGATGCTGATGATACTGATGATGATGATGATGATGATGATGATGGTGCTGATGATGATGCTGGTGATGCTGCTGCTGCTGATGATGACGCTGGTGACGATACGGATGCTGGTGTTGCTGACGATGGCGATGCTGATGAGGATGATGCTGATGATGATGATCATGCTGTTGATGATGATGCTGTTGATAATGATGACGCTGATTATGATGCTGCTGATGGTGATGATGATGGTGGTGATGCTGATGATGATGATGATGATGATGATGATGACGACGACGATGATGATGATGATGATGCTGCTGATGATGATGATGATTATCATGATGATGATGATGATGATGATGATGATGATGATGATGATGATGATGATGATGATGATGATGGTGATGCTGATGATGATGATGATGATACTGATGATGATGATGATGATGATGATGATGATGAGGAGGAGGAGGAGGAGGCGGAGGAGGAGGAGGGGGTAGAGGAGGAGGAAGATGACGATGAGGAGGAGGAGGAGTTGGAGGAGGAGGGGAGTTGGAGGAGGAGGAGGAGTGAGGAGGAGGAGGAGCAGGAGGACGAGGAGCCCAGGAGGAGAAGGAGGAGGAGGATGATGATGATGAGGAGGAGGAGGAGGAGGAGGAGGAGCGGGAGGGGGAGAGGAGGCCGAGACGGAGAAGGAGGAGAAGGAGGAGGAAGAACAGGAGTAGGCGGGGGCGGATGGGGAGGAGGAGGAGCAGCAACATGAAGAGGAGAAGGAGCAGGAGGACGAGGAGGAGGCGGTGGAGGAGGAGGAGGAGGAGGAGGAGGAGAGCAGCAGGAGCAGGAGCAGGAGGAGCAGGCGGAGAGCAGGAGGAGCGGGATGAAACAGGAGGAGATGGAGGCGGAGCAGGAGGAGGAGATGGAGGAGGCGGTGAGGAGGAGGGAGGAGGAGGAGAGGAGGGAAGAGGAGGAGCAGCAGGATGAAGGAGAAGGAGCAGGATGAGGAGGAGGAGGCGGTGGAGGAGGAGGAGGAGGAGGAGGCGCAGCAGCAGGAGCAGGAGCAGGAGGAGCAGGCGGAGGAGCAGGAGGAGCGGGATGAACAGGAGGAGGATGGGGAGGCGGAGCAGGAGGAGGAGATGTAGGAGGCGGAGGAGGCGGAGGAGGAGGAGGAGGGAAAGGAGGGCGAGGAGGAGAAGAAGGAGGAGACGGCGGCGGTGGGGGAGTTGGATAACGAGGCGGAGGAGGAGAAGGAGGAGCAGGCGCAGGATAAGCAGGAAGACAAGTATGATGAGGACAGTGAGGACGAGAACGAGGACGATGTCGAAGAGGAGAAGGTGGATTAGGAGGAGGAGGGGAGGAGGAGGATGAGGAGGAGGAGGAGGAGGAAGAGGAGGAGGATGAGGAGGAGGAGGGGGAGGAGACGCATGAGCAGGAGGAACGCTATGACGAGGACGGGGTGGATCAGGGACATGAGGAGCAGGATGAGGACGAGGACGAGGACGAGGACGATGACCAGGCCGAGGAGGAGGAGGAATAGAGGAGGAGGACGAGGCGTGGGTGGAGGAGGAGGAGGAGGGGGAGGAGGAGGAGGAGGAGGACGAGGAGGCGGAGGAGGAGGAGGAGGCGGTGGCGTGTGCGTGTGCGCGCGCGGCGCGCGCGTGCGTGTGCGTATGCGCGCGCGCGTGTGCGCGTGCGTGCGTGCGTGCGTGCGTGCGTGCGTGCGTGCGTGCGTGCGTGCGTGCGTGCGTGGGTGTGTGTGTCTGTGTGTGTCTGTGTGTGTGTGTGTGCGTGTGTGCGTGTGTGCGTGTGTGCGTGTGTGCGTGTGTGCGTGTGTGTGTGTGTGCGTGTGTGTGTGTGTGTGTCTCTGTGTGTGTGTCTGTGTGTGTCTGTGTGTGTGTGTCTGTGTTTCTGTGTGTCTGTGTGTCTGTGTGCCTGTGTGTCTGTGTGTGTGGGGGGCATGGTGGTAGCAGGAGCAGGAGCATGACGAGAAGGATGGGGAGGAGGATGAGGGGGAGCAGGATGAGGAGCAGCAGGAGGAGGAGGAGGAGGACGAGGACGAGGACGAGGTGGAGGACATGGGGGCAGAGGAGGAGGATGACGAGGAGGTGTAGGAGGAGGAGGAGGAGGAGAAGGAGGAGGAGGATATACTGAGGATACGGAGGAAGAGGACGAGGAGGCGGAGGAGGAGGAGGAGAAGGAGGAGGAGGAGGAGGATAAGGAGAGGAGGAGGAGGAGCAGGAGGAGGAGGAGGAGGAGGAGGAGGAGGGAGGAGGAGGAGGAGGAGGAGGAGGAGGGAGGAGGAGGAGGAGGAGGAGGAGAAGGAGAGAGAAGGAGGAGGCGGGAGAGGAGGAGGAGGAGGATGAAGATATGGAAGAGGACGAGAGGAGGAGGAGGAGGAGGACCAGAGGACGAAGAAAAGGAGGAGGAGGAGGAGGAGGCGGAGGAGGAGAGGAGGAGGATGAGGAGCGGGAGGAGGAGGAGGCGGCGTGGGGGGGAGCAGGAGCATGAGGAGGAGGTGGAGGAGGAGGAGCATGAGGAGGAGCAGCAGGAGGAGGAGGAGGAGGACGAGGACAAGGACGATGCAGGGGAGGAGGGGGAGGAGGAGGAGGAACATGAGGATGAAGAGAATGATGAGGAGGAGGCGGCGGCGGGGGGGGGGGAGGAGGAGGAAGAGGAGGAGGTGGATGTGGAGGAGGAGGAGGAGGACAATGACGAGGACGAAGACGATGATGCCTCCACCCTCCACCCTTGCATCCCTCCTCCTTATCCCACGCTCGTCTCGCATCATTTCGTTCTCATTCCACTCCTCTTCCTCCTTCTCCTTCTCCTCCTCCTCCTCCTCCTTCTCTTCCCTCCCTCCCTTCCCTCCCTCCTTCCCTCCCTCCTGCTTCTGATCCTCACGTTCCTCGCCATCGCTACGTTATCCTGCTCCCTGACCCCCGCTGCGTGGTCCCTGCCTCATTCTCTGCTCCTCCTCACTATGTCCTCCTTCCTCCTCTCTGATTGCCTCCCTCGTCACTCCTGCTCGTTGTCGTCGTCGCCTGTGTCCGTTCCTTGTCAAGCTGCGAGGAAGTTCAATGTATGAGGGTGACTCTTGTGTCGGCCGGTCCAGGGCGACGCGGGCGCCCTGGAGATGGGGCTCACCAGTGAGAGCCATTTCAATGCGCCGCCGCGCGCCCGTTTGTGCCATGGGCCCCAGCGAGGTTGAGGGACGAGGGGGCGGAGGATCATTGAGGAGTCCATGGTGGCGAGCGGGGGGGGAGTACGATAAGAGGGTTCAGAAGGGGAAGGAGAACGATGCGGAAGCAGGTCGAGGTGGGGTCCACGGTTCCCCAGCATGCCGAAGCTGAAGGTTGCCCCGTCTGATAGGCGAAACATCACGCCCATTTGTCAAGAAGCACGCATGCTTGCCCTTGCGCCGTTGAGTGGTCATCGAGCGATATTGCCGTCCCTGACCGCCGAAGCTCAGTTCAATGTCAGTTGCTCCTGCTTCGAGATGAGTTTGATTCTCGTTCGGGACTCTTGCAATGACGCAATGACGGCGACGATGAGGACCTCGACGAGGACGAGGCGGAGGATGTGGTGGATGTGCAGAAGGAGGAGCAGCAGCAGGATCCGCGTCGCAAGGAGGAGCAGCAGCTTCAGCGGAGGCGGGAAGCAGAAGACGAGGAGGAGGTGAGGCAAGGACGTCCGAATGTGTGGAGAGATACGGTCGGACCGAGGTAGAAGATCGACGTCGGCTCGGGTATTGTCGTATATTCTTGTGCATCCTGGGGAAGGGTACGTTGGGTGACATTATGTTTAGGGGGGTTCGGCCAACAGAGGGTCTCATGCTCTGGATGTTATTTTGTCCTTGGTCCCGCTGTAGGGGGCACGACAGTTGTTGCATTCAGTCAGCTTCGGCTCCACTACCGGGCACACTTCACATGCTCCGGTGCACGCTCGCACCGGGCGCCTCGGGGCGCCCGAGAAGATCAGCTACATGAATCTGATTCGCCGCCCCCGCGCCCCCCATCTCTTTGCCCCCCCAAGTTGATCTGACAATGTGTACATCAATATAGTAGGTATTTGACCCACGTGTGCACATATAGAAGGTGTACATACATGAGTACACACACTTATTTATATATATATGTATATATGTATATATATATAAAAATGTATGGATGTGTATGTCTGTCTGTCTGTCTGTCTGTATGTCTGCCTGCCTGCCTGCCTGTCTGTCTGTCTGTCTGTCTGTCTGTCTGTTGGTCTGTCTGTCTGCCTGTCTGTCTGTCTGTCTGTCTGTCTGTCTGTCTGTATGTATGTATGTATGCATGCACATATATATATATATATGAATGAATGAGCTTGATAATGGAGATTATTGTGTGTGAGCATTTGCCTGTTTGAGCTTGCCGGCAGAAACCGACCCCTTTCAGTCAAAAAGGGTCGGTTTATTGCGTCTCACTTTCCATAGCTGTTTCTGGGTCAAAATCCCATGACTCAGAGTCTCTGAAACTGCATCTGTGTGTTTGGGGCCTCCTGCGGCCCTCCCTCAATCTCAGAGGCGATGGTGCCTCCCTCGACGTCCCTGGCCGAGGCCGCGGAGGCCCCGACACCCGCGCCCGCGCCGAGCCGCTGGTGGGCCCTGGGCTGGCTGGCGGCTGGGCTCGCGGCGGTGGCCCTGCTAGGCCGCGCCGCGTGGCGCGCGGATCAGGGTCGCGACGCGGTGGTGAAGGCGGGCCAGGCGCTGGGGCTGCTGCTGCTCACGCTGGCCGCCTCGTGGTGGCGAGCAGGCTTGGGCTGGGGCGGCCGTCAGACTACGGCCGACCGCGCGGAGCTGGAGCTGCTGCGCGCGAGGCTGGCGGCGTTGGAGGTGACCGAGCCCGAGGGCGCGGCGGACGCGGCGCCGGCGGTCCTGCCCGCGCCGCCGCCGAGCGGGTTGCCTCCCATGCCGCCGCCGTGGCTGCCGCCTGGGGCGGCCCCGCCGCCCGCGGCCGCACCGCCGCCCGCGCCCGTCGGCGACGGCGGGATGGCCGCGCTCGCGGCTTTCGCGGCGGGGGCCGACGTGGGCGGGCCCATGTCCCAGACGCGGGGGGCCTTGGGCGGAGCGCAGCCGCCAGGGGCATCCGTGCAGGCGCTCTCGGCGACGCCCCCGCCCGCGGTGGACTACCCGCCTGTCCCGGGGGCTGCTCCTGCGATGGGGCCGACGCCTGCTGCCGCCGCCTGCGCCCAGCGCGTGCGCGCGGAGCTCGACACCCTGTCGGGCGCGCAGCCCGCGGACCCCTGGTGGGAAGCGCGCTTCTGGCAGCGCGTGGCGGCGCTCGACGCGGCCGGGGCCCCCGCGGCGCCCGTGAAGGAGGCGCTGCAGGCCAGGGGCTACGTGGGGGCCGCCACCGTCGGCGCGCCCGACGCTGAGAGTCTGCGCCAGCTGCTGCGGAGCATCGAGGCGGCGGCGACCTCAGCGGGCTGTGGCGGCGGAGCGCACGCGGTCGGGTTCGCGCAGACTCGTGGGCGCATGGGTTCCCTCCCGACTTCCGCCGCGCGGCGGGAGAAATTTACAGGAACATCCGAGGTGCTGGCGCGACCTCGGTCCGCCACTGGCTGCAGGAGTACCACGTGGGCTCGAAGACGACGGCGTCCTGGCAGCACCTGTGGGCCATGGCGTCCTCGGTCGACTTCGCTGTGGGCGGCATCTCCTCGGACCTGGAGCTCTACCAGAAGCTCAACACCGACGATCGGCTGGAGTTGGCTCTTCGACACCTGTCAGCGCATGTATACGAGCAACGAACGAAGGACTACGTCGGCGCGGCACGTCTTCGAGCTGTGGCTGCTCCAGGCAGCGCGATAGATATTGCGCCAAATTGGATGGTGGGCGAGGCCACTCTGCATTCCAAGTTGGAACACCAGCGTGATGAGCAGGTGCAGGCCGAGCTTCGTCGTCGAGGCAAGGGCGACAACAAGGTCGACCACAAGACTGACCCCAAGGGCGGCAAGCCCAAGGGGTCGGGCAAGTGACCCGACGACGCCGGGGAGCGGCCTTGGCAGCCGGGGGCCGCTCCACGTCAACCGGACCTACGGCTGCGACTACCAGGGGGAGGACACCGTCGCCGCGGCGCCGCACCCGATGCCGCGCCGCAGCCTTGCTTGCGTGCGCCGCCGCCTTCAGGCCTGAGCTGACCCGCCGTGGTGAGTTCCCCGACCTACAAGAGGTGGCCGAGGCCTTCGAGCTGCGCTTGACCTGCATGCCGGTCCCGCTGCCCCCCATGCCGCCGCCGAGCTCGGCGGCCTCGGGGCGACTGCGGCAGCGGGCAGCGCACAGGAGGGCGATTTGCATGGCGGCGAATCAGATTATTGAGGGAATCAACAGAATTCATTCCGGTAACATGCGACGACCAGCGAGTGGCAGAGCGAATGTTGAAGATAGACGAGGCGACGGCTCTGCCACGGGCCTGGCTCAGCTGCGCGCGGTGCGCCTTGCGCGGGAGTCTGGCCAGGTTCGCTGGCCCGAGAGGGTGACTGGCGTACAGGCGTTGAGGGATCTCCTCAAACTGGGCGAGGTCTCGTACACGGGCTGTAAGAGAGTGGCCGCGCATGCGCCTTTCGAGGCTGACCGCATAGGCGAGGTGGTTACTCACAAGACGGTCCGCATGTTCGACGCTCTGCCTTCGGACGAGGCCGCCTTCTACCGAGATGAGGACAATGTGATCGACTGGGCTGGAAAACCTGAGATTTTTAAAGATGAGTTGAGCAGCACTTCGGCTTCCTCGGCGGCGACCAGTCGGAGTGGGTCAAGTATTTACCTCACGACGACCTGCCGCCCGGTCTCTGGGTCTTCCGCACTCGAGAGCAGGTCAAGTCGGTCAACGGCGTGAGAGCGGTGCGGAAGAAGGACCCGACCAAGCAGCGCAAGCTGATCATGGCCGTCCCTGCCAACTACGCGTGGTGCGACGTGCGAGGACGCGAGGACCACGGCCTGGGCGGGGGCTGGGCTCCGCACGCCGCCTTGAGCGTTGCCCGCTGTGACGAGTCCAACGCGTTCTCATCCATCGTGACGCCCGTGCGGATGTGGCCCTGGATGGGTGCGCCCCCGGTGGCAGCGGGGATGCTGAGGTCGCTCCTGCCGAGCGAGTTGGCAGACGCGCCTGACGACCTGCCGATCTACCCGTGTCACACCCGTCTGCCGCTGGGCTCGTCGCACTCGGTGCACATCATGATGTCCATCAACATGCAGGCGCTGGGCCGCTGCTTGGCGAACAGCTCGAAGGTGCTGCAACAGCTGGAGGCGCCGCGCCAGGAGCTCGCGGACGTGGCGGACGTGGCCGACGTCGAGTGGGCCCGCCGCCAAGAGGCGCGGCGCGCTGGAGGGCCCGAGGGTGCGGGCTTGTCTGCGACCGAGTTCGTGGACCAGGCCAGGGCCCTGAAGCAGCTCGACTCGAGGGCGATGGTGGCCCTGCACGTCTTCGCGGGCCAGCGCCGACAGGACGACGCGCAGCACTTCATCGAGCAGCTCGGGGACCAGCACGGCGCGAGGGTCTTCGCGTTCAGCGTCGACTTGGCGCACGACCGGAGGTGGGACTTCAGCGACCCGCGCGCGGTCTCCCTGCTACTGGGCCTCGCCAAGGAGGGCCTCCTGGACGTCGTGCTGGGCGGGCCGCCGTGCGCGACCTGGGGCCGCGCGCGCTTCCGCCCGGACGGGCCGCCGCCGCTGCGGTCGCGGCGAGAGCTGCTGGGCCTGGGAGGTCTGACTGCAGGCCAGCAGGCGAGAGCGGCCGAGGCCAACGTGCTTCTGTTTTATTTTCTGGGGCTCTGCGAAGCTGTTCTAGCTCAGGGGGGCGCTTTTTTGGTTGAGCACCCGGCTGGCCCGGGCTGCGAGCCATGCCCCTCGATTTGGGTCCTGGATGGAGTTCGGGGGCTCGCCGATAGAGCCAGAGTGTCGGTGTCGAACTAGATCAGTGTATATTCGGGGGTGTGGCCCAGAAACCTACAGGTCTCCTTTCCAACCTGCTTGGGATCTCTGAAGGCACGCTCAGGTGCGACGGATGACACGAACATGGTAAATCGCATGGCCGAGTGTCTGCTGGAACGTTCGCTACACGCCGACTGCAAACATGCCCTCCAGGTTTCTGTCGTTTCCTTGCCCTGTGCGTCGTCAGGACCCTGGCGGCCATGGGCGAGGAC